ATACTTTTGGCAATATAGTGTATCTAAAACATTAAAATCCATTTAATCACTTTCACCAAATAGAAATAAAGCAACTTGAGATAAATGTGTACGTTTAAAAGACAAATACCAAAAAAGTCCATTTTGGAAAGAAGGGGAGAGGGAATCTCAATGTATTATACTTAACAAATGTGTTATCATATTCATGGGAGCTATAAAATATTTTAAAAAGCTAATATGTTTACACTGTACTTTTTACAGCTTTCACTTCTTTCTATTTTAACACAATAATAATGTTTACATTTACCCTCAGCTAATGTTTTCTCAGGATTTGCATCTTCAGGAAACTGTTATCCTGTGGTTTGGGAAAAGCATCCAAGATTGTGTGCAAGCATAATTTTAAAAAAATATATGTGGGTTCTTAGAAAAGGCATGTTTAAGCATATAAGAATAAATGAGAAGAGAGCTTCTAATCCTAGAAGTAAATTTTTTAAAAAAAATTGGGAAGTAGTGATTGCTATTATATAGCAATTATTAAAATGACAAAGGAATCAATATGGTCTAAGCTCATACTTTGGTTAAGACTGAAAAAGACATCAAAAAAATAATGTATACTTATACTGACATTGACAGTATACTTATTAAGAGACAGATATCTATGAGTTTTTAATTGAGTTTAGTAAATACCATCAAAGTACTTTATTGGGAATTAGGTCTATAAATGTCACATAATATTATGTCAGTTGACTGTGTTGTCTAGGGAATTATAGCTATTGACATTCAATGTCTCTGGAAAACATAATATAGGAACGCTGTATTCATATTATGTGAACTGATTCATTGTATTGATATTTCAATTGTAATGTAAGAACTAAGCTATAAAAATTGTTACATAATTGGCTGACTTAGTACAACACATTCAGAATGAACCTTGGCTCACAATAATTCTATCTAAAGAAATGTCCTAATAATAGTTTACTGACTTAGCATTTGTCTGGTTGGAAATTCTTGTGGTTTGTAAGCCATGCTCTATACTTAATGTATTGAAGTAACTCAGCTAGTTATGGTTTATTGAAAAACACGGCTCAACTATGGGTTACTATGACTTTAGCATTAACAATAGCACTTATACTTATATACCGCTTCACAGTGCTTTACAGCCCTCTCTAAGTGGTTTCCCGAATCAGCATATTGCCCAACAATCTGGATCTCATTTTACCAACTTTGGAAGGATGGATCAAACTCATGGCAGTATGCTGAATTAATCTGCAATACTGCACCGCCGTGGCTTCTATAATTAATATTTCAGCCTGTTTCTGAAATATTGAACCTTTGAGGCTAAAATCAATAGGTCTTTCTAGACAGTATTTATATTGTATCTTAGCAATATGAGAAAAGTGGCTGCCACAGAATGCTGCTGGGTTTGGTCAGTCAGAATCCTTTCTTATTTATTCTATGTTTCTATAAGAAAATAAATTACAGGCTCTAGTAATACTTTAAATTCCTAGCTGAGAGTATTCTCATAGGAAAAGTAGGATGACCCAACCTTCCAAAACAAAAAATGTATATGATTTATATAAGCTATTCTAAGAAGTAAAGTTTTTAAACTATTGCCCTTATTGAACTATGTTCAATGATTAATGAAGATATGGTCTAAATTAAGTCTCCAAGAGTTTAATGACTTGATTACAAGATAAGTTGTATTTGTGCAGAAGAAGAAAACTTGCTGTAAGGAAGGTGTAATCAGTGTAACAATGAACTCACACTATTCTGTTAAAAGTGTGTGCTGCAGATGAAGAAGACTGGTTGATAGATACCTTCTCTATGGAGGAAGGTTCTTCTCAGATTTTGCTACCTGAAGAAACACCTGTTTATGTTCTGGAAGTAAAGATCTGTCTTACAATTTTATGAAACATAGTTCTAGGTGGCTCACGACAATGATAAAAAACAGAAACACTAAAATATGGTCTCTAATCCATCAAGCAATGCAATTCTCAGACTTCAACTGCAACCTATAACATGTGAGGTGAAAAAACAGCCCTTTATGGGTTTCAAGAAGGTTGAAAGGGTGGAGGCTTATCAGGTTCCAGGGGAAAAGGTGTTGCACATGACCAGAGATCCTACAGAAAGGTGTACTTCATAGGTCCCACTAGATAACAGT